TGTAAGTCTAATAAAACATGCTCAGGATTTACATACTAAAGATATGAAACACTGATGAAAGAAATCAAAGACATTCAAAATAACACATGGTGTCGATGTAATGGAAGACTCAACATAGTAAAGATGTTGATTCTCCCCAAACTGATACGCAGGTTTCACACAACTTCTATCAAAATCTCAAAAATAATTTTTGGTAGATATAGACAAAATTATTCTAAAATTTACATGGAAAGGCAAAGGAACTAAAATAGCTAAAATGCTTTTGAAAAAGAATAAAGTGGCAATCCATCCGGTTCCAAATCTGCTTATGTCAATACAGTAATAAAACTAAGCCTAGATGAATCTGCAGATAATTATGCTGAATAAAAAAAAAAAAATCTCAAAGCGGCTTCTACAATATGATTCCATTTTTACAACACCCTTAAAATGGAAAACTCATAGTATCAGAGAGCAAATTAGTGGTTACTAGGGATTAAGAAGAGGGTAAGGGATGGGAGGGAAGTGGGTGTGGCTCTAAAAGGCCAACATGAAGGATCCTTGTGATGAAAATGTTTTGTGTCCTTGCAGTGTCAGTGTCAATATCTCAGTTATCATATTATACTATGGTTTTCCCCATGATACCCTACAGGGTACTCACAGATAAAGGGTACACAAAATTTCTCTGTATTATTTCTTGCAACTGCATATAAGTCCACAATTATTTCAAAATAAAAATTCTAATTAAAAATAAAAGAACATAAGAGGCAGCCTGAAGAGGTTCCCATGGGTCAATTAGGAAAATTTTGAGCTCCAAAATAATTCAGAGCTGTAATAAACTACAAATCACTGAAAAGAATAGGAATGCATGAGTACATATGCATATTTGATAAATATATAGGCAAATAAGCAGACAGAGACAGACAGACAGATAAGGGAGAAGAAAGGGCTCTTGCTTACAGTAGAAAGCATGCAGGCTAGTAAATGTGATGGAAGTTAAGAAATAACCATCTGGGGCCAGGCACAGTAGCTGGTACCTGTAATCCCAGCACTCTGGGAGGCTAAGGCGGGCAGATCACCTGAGGTCAGGAGTTCAAGACCAACCTGGTCAACATGGTGAAACCCCATCTCTACTAAATACAAAAATTAGCCAGGATGGTGGTGGCACCCGTATTCCCAGCTACTTGGGACACTGAGGCAGGAGGATTGCTTGAACATAAGAGGTGGAGGTTGCAGTGATAAGAAACAGTAAATTTATGTAACCTAAAAGTGATTCCCATAGTTCTCCTATTTCTTGAAATGAAAACAAAACAAAACAATAACTGTAAAGGGACAGGGAGAATATCAGACAATACCTGGAATGGATAATCAAAATTAACATCATCAGTAAGGGCAGATGGATATAGTGTCATTTGATGTGATGCCCTGAGAGGGATATATTATTTATGCACCATTCTGACTTGGGATGCAAAACCAACCCGAATGAGGAATCATCAGACAGATGCAAAATGAAGAACATTCTTATTTTGAAAAAGAGAGAGGTATAGATGCTTTAAAAACATCAATGTTATAAAAGAAAAAAAAAAAGGCTGAAGATCAAAAGATACTGAACTATGACAACTAAACATCGTATGTCATCCTGAATTGAATTCGATACATGAGAGGAAAATATAATGCTATCAAGGACGTTATTGAGTCAAGTGACAAAATTAGGTAAGGATGGCAAACAACTAGGTATAGTTAATTAAAACTATAGTATCAATGTTGAATTTCTTAACATTGATAACTGTAGTGTGGTTATGAAGAGAATATCCTTATTTTTAGGAAACACAAGCTGAAGTACCTGGGGATAAAAGGACACTGGTATAGGCAACTTTCAAATGGCTTAGAAAAAAAAAACAGAAAGGCAATAATAATGCTAATGGGGCAAACTAATAACAACAGATGAAACTAAAGTAGAGAAGGGGATTCTTTATACTATTCTCGTAATTTCTTTCATTTGAAATTATTTCCAATTAAAAAATGTGTTAAAAATTATTTGACTCTGATTACTCACGAAAAAGAACCTAAGAGATGTACATGCCAATTTGGATTGGATACATTCCTAAAAAGCACAATAATTAAGAGTACAGGCTTCTGAGTTAAGACAAGTTTGGCTTCATATCTCAGTTCTGCCATTATTAGCTAACATTGACCTCAAGGAGTCTCCATTTTTTTTAATCTGTAAAATGGGGGAAATGATTCCTACCTCATAGAATTACTTTGATAACTAAATTTTGCATATATCACAGTCTCTGGCATAGCATAATCATGGAACAAAGCTGCTTGCTATTTTAATAGGTTAGAAGTGATGGCAATGGTGGTAGTGGGGGTGCTGGTGATGGCGGTGGTGACTGCTACAGGCCATGCAGATACAAAAATAACCAAAACATGGTTTCTGACCTCAAAGAACTCTCGGAGCTGAACTACAAACAACAGTCTGTAACAAAAGTGCAAATAAATTGTACCGGAACAGAAACAAAGGCATATTTACGCCTGGGGAGTTGGCTGGGAAGGCACACAGGGAAGGTGACTCTGAAAGTGAGCCTTAGAGGGTAGGTGAGGATTTCAGCAGGTGGAAGCCAGGACAAGTGGTGAGGCCATTCCTGACAGCAATGGGTGATGCTGAGAGCTCGGGGCACGTGTGGGAAACAGTCACTATTTCCAGGAGGTGAGGGCGGGAGAAAGTGCAGAGTGGGGCTGGAAAAGTCCACCTGGACCAAGCCATGAAGTGTGAGGGGTCCTGAACGTAACTCATGGGGTCTCTACTGTGTTGTGTGTGCAGTGGCAGAATCACCGGAGGTTTCTAAGTGAGGAGGAACCCCAGGAACTGCAGTCAGAAATGCTGCTTTGGTGGTCACTCAAAAAGTTAGTCTAACCTTTTAGGAGGGGGGCATTCCTTGGGAGACTCCTATAAAAAAGGCCACGAAAACATCACCCTTGGCATGTCTCCTCTCTTTTTAGTATGCCTCATCCAAAGCAGGATTATCCAAATAATTAACAACAGGTAAGGCTGGGTGAGCCATGGGGCAGACACAGGCAGTCACATACATACACATACATACACACACACACACATACACATACACACACATACACACATACACACATATACACACACATACACATACACACACACACATACACATACACACACACATACACACATACACACATACACACACATACACATACACACACATACACACACATACACATACACACACATACACATACACACACACATACACATACACACACACACATACACACATACACACACATACACATACACACACATACACATACACACACATACACACACATACACACATACACATACACACACATACACATACACACACATACACATACACACACACATACACACACATACACATACACACACACACACACACATACACATACACACACATACACATACACACATACACATACACACACATACACATACACACATACACGCACATACACATACACACACATACACATACACACACACACACACACATACACACATACTCTCTTACACACTGACAGGCACTTAAGAGTGGCTTCCAGGGGGGGAATGGTCAAGGGATTTTGGGAGAGCTAACTAGCATGGCAACAAGAACTGAGAGCCGGCAAGGGTCCCAGAGGCCCCCTGTCGTAGTGGGCATTTACCCCATTAACTGGGTCATAGGGTCCAAGGACGGGGCCAGGAGTCAATAGACAAATGGGCAGCTTAAGGGGAGCAGGCAGGTAAAGGAGACAGGAGTATTTCTACGTTTTAACAACCAGCACCAGTACCTTCCAGCTGAGCATGAGACCTGTCCCCTATCCAGGGTGTCTCTTCACCAGACCATCCACCCTCAGATTCTTTAACTCTGGCTGGCTCAGAAAAACCAGAAACTTCTCTCTGGCCAGCAAAGTCCCCTTTAAAAGTAAGGCTTCCTGACCATACTAGGTGACACTTTCTGTGTTTTACATTGTACAGTCCAGGTACCCCATGTGGTTTACACACAGGACTGGACTTAAAAATGCTATGAGCCAGGAACTCACACCTGTAACCCCAGCACTTTGGGAGGCCAAGGTGGACGGACCACCTGAGGTCAGGAGTTGAAGAGCAGCCTGGTCAACATGTTGAAGCCTCTTCTCTACTAAAACTACAAAAAAAAGTAGCCAGGCCTGTAATCCAAGCTACTTGGGAGGCTGAGGCAGAAGAATCACTTGAACCTGGGAGGCGGAGGTTGTAATGAGCTGAGATTGCACCACTGCACTCCAGCCTGGGCAACAAAGCAAGACCCCATCTCAAAAAAAGAAAAAAATGAACTATGGATATTATATAAGAATCATTACATTTCTTTTTGTTAATTTTTGCATAGTAATGAAGAGAGATTAAAGTTTTAATTCACTTTTTTTCCCCTTTTTTTACAAAATTATACTTTAAGTTCTAGGGTCCATGTGCAGATCATGCAAGATTGCTACATAGGTATACACACACCATGGTGGTTTGCTGCATTTATCCCCCCGTCACCTACATTAGGTATTTCTCCTAATGTTATCCCTTCCCAATCCCTCCACCCACTGCTATTCCTCCCCTAGTCTCCCCAACCCCACAACAGGCCTTGGTGTGTGATGTTCCCCTCCCTGTGTCCTTGTGTTCTTATTTTTCAACACCCACTTGTGAGCGAGAACATGTGGTGTTTGATTTAAAAGGACATCATAATCAACATATGGTTCTTTTGGAGTTTGTATCTCATTTCATCTAACTAGTTTGGAAAGATTCGTGCTTCTCCCATGTGTAGTAAGACGGAAAAAGAATGTGTTTTCATAGAATATTCTTTGAAATAATAAAACTTTTAACTTTTAAATTTACTAGAAAATTATTTGAAAGCATGGCTGATATTTAAATCAGGAAGAACAAAAGAGTAGCTCCATCTGGACAAAGAGAGACACTGGTGATTGGAGCAGCCTGTTGTTACCTCCGAGGCGATGGAGGTGAAGCTGCTGCTGAAGTGCACGTGCTTATGGATCTCACTGCCGTTGGCTGTCAGGAGCCAGTCCCCAAAGGCCTGGTCTTCACCAGCTGACTGGTTGCCGTGGCTCTGATTTGGCAGGCGCTCTGCCAGGTCCCAGTGGTATGATGGCGTGGCCCCAACCAGTGCCATGAGGATGGCCTCCGTGGCTACGTAAAGCTGAAAGAGCAAACACACAGAACTGAACACTGCAGACATTTGCCATCAACGTTGAAGACACTTCGCAGGCTTGCACACCTCTAAGAATCAGTTCTTGCTTTTGTATTTTTACGAGCTAGAGATATAAGCCACATCAGAAACAAAGGAGAAAAACATGAAAAAGAACCTTTGTGATCTACCATGAACAGAATCATCAGCAATCCCATTTGTAAAACACTTTATACTTTTACAGAGGGTTTTCTTTCTTTGAGATATTTCTGATACTAAAGACACTGCTCATACGGTTATATGGTTCAAAAGCAGAAGGGCTTGCTGTGATTTAAAAGACTACCATCCCAGCTATTATCTCTTCAACACTGTATCTTCAGATCAGGTAAGTGTTCACTAGGGGGCTAGGAGTATCTTGGGCTTGGATTTATGATCTAAACAAGAGATTTCTGTGGTATAATTGTCTCACAAAAGAATATAGATTATATTGTTTTATTAAAGCAGGTAAGCACAATATATCCTTGAGTAAGCACTATTTTAAAATATGATACACAGCTCATAGTAAAATTTTAAGAAATTCGAAGTCCCAGCTATAGATATTCATTTTGTAATGTTGAGTTATACTTAGCCGTGGTTTGATCTAACCATAGTTGTTCCCCCGCAAAGAAAATATATTTCATGCATTCATTCAAGAAACCTTTATTAAACATATACGCCACTTGTCAGTGATTGTTCTGGGCTTTGCAGCCACTTGCAGTTGGGTTTATAAGTGAAGCCCTTCTGCATCTTTTTATGCTATAGATTTCCAGTATTAACTTCCACTGTCGGACAAGTATTTCAAGCTTAAAATTTATTAAGAAAACATATAGTCTACCCCAGAGAAGGACAATCTAAAGAAAGTATCCCTATTAACTTAGAACTTGATGTCTTAAAATACCTTTAATCAACACTCCTGCAATCCCAGCACTTTGGGAGGCAGAGGCAGGCAGATCATTTGAGGTCTGGAGTTCAAGACCAGCCTGGCCAACATGGTGAAATGCCATCTCTACTAAAAATACAAAAACTTCCCGAGTGTGGTGGTGGGCCTGTAATCCCAGCTACTTGGGAGGCTGAGGCAGGAAAATTGTTTGAAACCAGGAGATAGAAGTTGCAGTGAGCCGAGATTGCACCACTGTATTCCAGACTGGGTGGGCGACAGTGAGACTCCGTCTCAAAAAATAAAATAAATAAAAAATTTAAAAAACCTCTAAACAGAATAGGTAGTTTAAAAACTATAAAGTGTATGATTTCTCTACAGCATAGAGCAATAAGCCCACTTGATGTATGAGTTGACTGAGGCATAAAAAGGTGAAGAGGCTTGCCAACAGTTTGTCTGCATTTGGCAGAGAACTCCCAGCTTGGGTCTACTTCCAAGTCATTCTGCAGGGGCATATTCGGCTGTTAAATGGATAAGCGGAAGAGCCAGAGACAGAGTAATTTATGAGGAGCAGATGATGGAATCGCTGTCAAGGACAGAGAAAAGGAGTCATGACATGGTGTGTGTCATAACAGCAGCTAATGTAAAACCCAGATATGCCAGAGGCAGTGGCTCACACCTGTAATCCCAGCACTCAGGGAGGCCGAGGGGTGCAGATCACCTGAGACTAGTAGATCGAGACCAGCTTGGTCAACATGGTGAAACCCTCTCTCTCCTGAAAATACAAAAATTAGCTGGGCAGGGTGGCAGGAATCTGAAATCCCAACTACTCGGGAGGCTGAGGCAGGAGAATCGCTTGAACCCAGGAAGGAGGCAGAGGTTGCAGTGAGGCGAGAGTGCACCACTGTACTCCAGCCTGGGAGACAGAGTGAGGCTCTGTATCAACAAACAAAAACAAAATAAACAAAAAAACCCAGATGCAATGTTTCCATTCTGGGTAAGGCTTAGAGGATCTAAGGCATTCTCAATCTACTTTGAGTCCATTGACAGTGGGCCTCTCAGGAGAGGTACAAAGCTGCCATGGGTCAGGATGCTGGGTGTTTTCTTGTACTTTGCAAGGGCAAGCAAGTTCCTAGACTTACACGTTTCCTGTCTCCTATTTGCATACTATTAGAAAAGTGTTTGAATAGGAGGCAATCGGTTTATAAAAATAAAAGCCTTAATTATAGGAACAGATAGATGACATATTTAGTAGCAGCTATAATTACAAAGTCACTTACACCCATTTAGTAACTGCCCCTGCTGATTATAACCTGCAGAAATGTAACTGATAGGTATAAAGTAATAAAAAACATGGGGCAAGGGAACTCAGGAGGAGAGGACTCAAAACACATGTTCTAATGAATGTACGGCCATCAGTTAGGCAAAGCAACTAGTCATGTTTCCTGAATGTACTCTTTCCTACCTTTGTTCACACCATTCGCTTCACCTGGAAGGCACTTTCTCCTGCTGCAAATGTTTGAACTTTTCCCATCCTCCAAGATGGAACTCGGATATCACTTCCTCCACGAAGCCTTCCTTACTGTCTTGCTTGTGTCTCCAACCCCTCCAGAAGTCCTCTCCTGTTACTTGCTGCTCACTCCTACAGTTCCATCTAGACCTTCGAGAGCATGCACCATTTTCTTTTTTCTTTTCTTTTCTTTTTTTTTTTTTGGAGACAGCATCTTGCTCTATTGCCAGGTTGGAGAGCAGTGGCACTATCTTGGCTCACTGCAACCTCCACTTCCTGGGTTCAAGCGATTCTCCTGCCACAGCCTCCTGAGTAGCTGAGATTACAGGTGTTCACCATCACACCCATCTAATGTTTGTATTTTTAGTAGAGATTGGGTTTCACCATGTTGGCCAGGATAGTCTCGATCTCTTGACCTTGTGATCCACCTGCCTCAGCTTCCCAAAGTGCTGGGATTACAGGCGTGAGCCACCACATCCAGCCTGCATGCACCATTTTCTTCACTGTATTATATTTATATATCTGCTGATCTTATTTTGCTCTATTGAAATATATTCTCCTTAAAGGCAGGATCTATGTCTGATTCACCTTTGGGCTTCCAAAGCAAATAACCCAGGGCCTACACACTCCACAAGTAAATGAATAAATGACCAGGATGGAATACCAGTAATAGCACATGCCTCTATAACGCTAACTAGGTACCAGGTACTATTCAAAGTTTCTTCTGAATATGTGTTAACATATCATATATACACACAAATACAAACACACACACACATACACATACATATACACACACATATACATATACACACACACATATATACATATACACGCACACATATATACATACACACATACACATACACACATAAATACATACACATACATATATACATACACACACATATATACACATACACACACATATATACATATACACACATACATATACACACATATATACACACACATATATACCTATACACACACATATATACATATACACACACACATATGCATATACACACACATATACAAACACATACACACATATATACATATACATGCACACATATATACATACACACATACACATACACACACATAAATACATACACATACATATATACACACACATATACACACATATATACATATACACACATATACATATACACACATGTATACATATACACACATGTATACATATACACACATACATATACACACATATATACATATACATACACACATATATACACACACATATATACCTATACACACACATATATACATATACACACACACATATATATACACACACATACCTATACACACACATATATACATATACACACAAATATATACATACACACACATATATACAATACACACATATATGCATATACACACACATATATACATACACACACACATATACACACACACACACACACACACACGGTTTTTTTTTTGAGACAGTTTTGCTCTTGTCTCCCAGGCGGGAGTGCTTAGTATTAACCAGCCATGGGGATGTAACCTAAACACAGAATATGGGATGGTTCTCCTTGGTTTGCCATCTTTGGCTGTGACAAATTCATACAGCTCACATCCTATTCTTTTCCCCCAGAAAACAAAAATATTCTCTCATTCTACTCTCCACTATTACTTACAAATACCACGCACACTTTCACCCACATATTTTTGCCTAATAAAACTGCACCCATCAGCAGATGGGCCTTTAAGCCACAATAAACTAACCACCATCCATTGTCTACCAGAGTGGGAATAACAACATCTCAAATAAATCATTATCTTCTCTAGCTCTACCTCTAGGGAAGGAGAACAAGTGCCACAGATGGCTGGATTTTCCCCCTTTCAATGTAATTATAATTAGAAAAATGACTGAAATGCACTAGGCGATTGAAATGTTTAAAGTTTCAAGAAGTGAAGGTTTTCAAAGTAGTTTTATATTAACACCATTATGAGCTCTTCTAATTCTTCTCAGGAAACCCGAAAAGTCTCCTATAAATTATCTCATCACAACGCCTTGTGCTGTGAAGTCACGGTTAAGCATGATGTTTATTTTCTAAGTAGGAAAAATGAGGTGCAGAACGACTGAGTACATTGTTCAATGTTACGTATGACACTAATTGCAAAACCAGGATGAGAACAAGAACCACTTAACTTTGCGGCCAGAGCTTTTTTCAGAGAAAATAAACGGAGGGGGGTATAAAAGACGATTTTACTGTTGTCATTATCTTTAGTTTTTTGTTTTTTGTTTTTTTTGAGATGGAGTTTGGCTCTTGTTACCCAGGCTGGAGTGCAATGGCGCGATCTCGGCTCACCGCAATCTCCGCCTCCTGGGTTCAGGCAATTCTCCTGCCTCAGCCTCCTGAGTAGCTGGGATTACAGGCACGCGCCACCATGCCCAGCTAATTTTTTGTATGTTTAGTAGAGATGGGGTTTCACCATGTTGACCAGGATGGTCTCGATCTCCTGACCTCATGATCCACCCGCCTCGGCCTCCCAAAGTGCTGGGACTACAGGCGTGAGCCACCGCGCCCGGCCATCTTTAGTTTT